AGTCTATGATGTTTTCTGCTGGTAGTATGGTGTCATCTGCATATCTTAGTTTGTTGATATTCCTTCCTCCTATCTTCACTTCTCCTTCTGTCTCCAAGCCTGCTCTTTGTATAATATTTTCTGCATGCAAGTTGAACAGATAGGGTGAAAGGATGCAGACTTGCCTGACCCCCTTTGTCCTAACAGTAACCTCTCATTAAAGCCACAGAAAATGAGCACACTCATCCTAATCTTGCTAAAATTTTAGCCTTTGGGTCCTATGTTGTCATTAACTTTTGATCATAAAGAAACTGAAAAATTCCCAACAAATTCCCTTTAGAAATACAATCGTACAAATGCTGACAGTGAAACATCAGTCTCATTTGAATTTGTAAACAGGATATGTATATTTAGCTTGGCAGTCACCTCAGTGTGGTTTGAAACTATATTAAGTACTTTGGGGTTCTCTTGCTTTTTAATGTTATTATATTTATTTTAACAACCACTTTTAAAATCATTAAATCATAACAATTACATAATTCCTACAATATATACCCTCTCCTAATAACAAACATAACATCTAAAACACACAATTTCCTACCTAACAGTTCTTAGTTGTACCTGTGATTGGCTGTCTGTCCTGTGTTTATTTTTATGTTCTTCTACATTTACTGAATTTTTGTAGTCTCAGGTGTGTCAAGTCTTCAGAATATGACCAGTGTGTGCTGCATTTGATTTGGGTCATATATTGTAACAACAGTTTTATAGGATAAAGAGAATAGATCACTACCTTTAAATCTCTTTGTAATAATCTGTTTATTTACAAATGTACATATTGAGTAAGCATTACATAGGCACAGAAGCAAAGTGCAGGCAGGGCTAGTAAAAAAAAAAATAATAAATTTAATGCTGAAGTTATTTCCTCCACCAGCCAACATATAAAAACTGCACATTTTCAGTTTCAGATATATTTTCCCAGCCAGTTTTCGGTCCATACCATTCTACAAGTTGACAAGTACCAAAGTACATGTCAAGGGTGTTTAGGAAAGAAATGACCTGTAAATATTATATTTAAGTAAATACCTATGATTCACCTCAATGACATGCCCTATAGAAGGTTGTACCACGCTATCCTTTCACTCTGCAGAACAATCCAGCACTGAAAACTACCTGTTGCTTACACTTCATCTTATCATACACAACCACACTTAGAAAGTAGTGCATTTTCTTCCTTACACCTGAGTGTGTGTGCATGAAGCTCCACTTCATCCATTAGTTCTATGGGCACTAGTTTTACCAAGAAAACTTTGTAGAGCTCGAGTGACACCTAAAGTCCTCCAGTCACACTTCAGGGGAAGGGCAGTAACAAGGCAGTTTTAAATTAATGCACATAACGTAGTTTTTATGAACAAAGGCTACTTTGGACAAAAATACACGACATGAAGAGTATCTGCATCCAACACAACAAATAATGATGGACCAGTAACTTCACAACTTTGTCCCCAAATAGGAGTGAATAAATGAAGGCTCTGTGTTAAAATTTCCTCCCTATTCCAACCAAGGGAGTCTGATAAACAGAAGGTAGGTTATCTCCCCATTGTTGCCTCATTCCAATCTGAAATACCTAAAGTTGTGAAATAATATTGTGAAATAATGTTGTCAGTAGTTGAGGGTCAGCCAGCAAATCTAATTTAGGTACTGCTTCAGTATTTCTTAGTGTTTTGTTTCTGTGAAGCTCTTGAAACCTTTTCTCTGAAGGCTTATATTGTTCTTGCAGCTCTCACCGTATTTCCTTTAACACGTTCGCCCACAAACTGAAAACGGGTGCTAGTAAACGGGTGCTAGTACTACACCTGGTCTTAGTCAAAAGGCCAAGAAGATTGGCAACTGATGGCCCTCAACTCCCATCTGGCAATGCTGGCTAGGAGTGCTGGGAGTTTCAATTTAAAAACATCTGGAGGACCACCAGTTGCCCATTTCAGTAATAGGAGATTTAAAAAGAGATTTAATACAGACCAAAATCTGATCTTGTTCAGGATCTCTGTCATTACTCTCACAAAGACATGGCAATTGTTAAAGTATAGAGCACCTAAATTTTGAAACATGGATATATTGCAAAGGTATATGCATTTTAATTATGTCTTGCATATTTTTATTCTGTTCTGCCAAGAAACATGGTTTTCAATATATTTCCAAGAAAGCATTAATTTTATTACACGAGCAGATTTAAAATGAAATCTTACCAACAGAACTACATAGCCACGTCTAAGCAACTTTAGACTTGGTCTGCTCCACCCTACCTGCAGTCTTGTTCAATCTATGGCAGACTATTTATTAAATTAATGGGAGTTTCAAGAAGAGTTGAGATATCACATTGGGAAAGAGGTAAATTGTTCATAGATAAGTACAATTTTTGTTGGGACCAGATATGGCCTTCACATTCAACTATTTCTTTGTATTCCAGCTTATAAACGTAATTGCTCATCTTATTCTCAAACACTGATACACCATCTTATTGGCACCACTGATACTGTGCATGCATTTGATAAGTTACTTTAAAAAATATTTATAGGGGATGCAATAGAAACTAACCTCCCTATAGTGCTACAACCCCAGTTTGCTCATCCATCAGATTCCAAGTTGACAACTCAAATGCATTCTAATTTCAAGGCATTTTGATCCAATTACCGTATTTTGTTTAACTTAAGATCAAGTTGTATTTAATGATCTTTTAAAAACTTAGTAACTTAGGTTTTCATATTCATTGGCTACAAATTATATACCTGCTTCTAAATATCCAAAAAGATGGATGATGAGCATGTTATTTCATACTATCCTGTTCTCAAAAGAATCACAACCCTTTCAACACAAGCTGCAGCAACCTTTCAAAATACTGCCCACTTACAACATCTGCTACACAAAGGAATAATAAATTCATATATTTCAAAGCCTGAAAATTTTGATTTTCACCCACACCTATTGCACTTGCAGTTCATGTGGATTGACTTTTTTTTCCCCACAAACAAGAGAACCAATTCGTGAGTATCATACAGTGAGTTCAGGCTTCTGTTTCTTTGGGATACAACCCATCCCAAGTCATAGAGCAAACTACTGCCATAGCAGAGAATTTCAAAGCAGTTTGCTAAGTGATCTGTTACTAATGGAGTTACTTAAATTTTAGTCTTTAGGCCCCTATAAAGAAATAAATGGATTTGATCCACATGAAGTTAGCAGACCTTGAGTCCAACTCAAAACCACATAGATCTCAGTGGGAATTATCTCAAACCAACTTAGTCTGGATCCCACAATTCTGATCATTTTTGTTGATAATGAATACATCCTGACGTTTCTAATTTAGTCTACTTCTGCAGGATATTGGGGGGGGATTGATTTATTGTCTTTAAAATTGCATTCTACCATATTGTTAAAATGGGAATGTCTGGGTATAAATACAGATGGCAGGACATTTTTTTAAACTATATTGCTTGTTTTAGATTTTTTCTCAACCAACACAATTAAAATGTTAGCTTTGAAAGTTGTATCTCTGTTAGTACTATTTCTCACAGCCCAATTCATTATTATTCTCTTCCTTATCTTTTCCATGCACATTAACACCTTTGCTCCCATGTTTTGTCTACACACAGATGAACTGGAGGCACATGCTGAGCTGGGGAGAGGAGAGGCAAGTGTTTTTCTAATGGAATCTTTTCTTTTAGCAGACCGATAGCACTGGATATAGCCCATGTTCAACAGGAGTAAAGCAGATACTGCAGTATCACTCTTTGCAGATCTCAGTTTCTAGAGTGCTGGCAAAGTCAGTGATATTTACTGCTTCTTTGTATAGATGTTAATGAACTTTAGCATGAGGTATAAATCTACAAAATGTAGAGAACACATACAGGGAAATTTTTGCACATCTGAAACACATCTAAGTTTCAATACTGGAAAGTCAACACCTGTGCCACTGATTTTCTTTTCTGATTTGCTTAAATGAAGTCTATGTTTTCAACTGGAGTTAGACTGGAGTAATAAAATGTAAAAGTTAAAATTCCTCCCCTGTCTTTCTCATCCCACACATTATTTATTAAACAGTCACAAGTAATTTCATATTAAAATTAAGGTCAGCTGAAGTATTTGAACTCCACCTCAGAGGAAGCGTTGGGAAGCCAAGTTCAAACTTTTAATTGTTTTCTTTCCACAGGAGGAGGCTTTAGTGTGTTTAGTAGCAAAAGAACTAAACTTCAGTTTTGGTTTTTTTATAAATACACATAAGCCATTAATTCACAGCTGCCAAGATAAGGAAACATCCAGCACTTTTGTGCAATGTCTGTGCAGAGTAAGAATCATCTGATCTTAAGTCTTGACATCATCCATTCAAGTCCTTGGCACAATCTGTAAAATAAATATTTAAATTAAGAAAATATAATTTTATTATCTATATTACATTTGAAGTATTTCAATTCTTCTGCATTCAAATATCACCTCAACAGCTGCTTTACATAAATCACTATTCCCTCAGACTCAGATCCTTAAGTAAACTATGAAGAAAATACTGAACTACCTGCAGGGCGTATGGAAATGAAAGCACAACACAGAAGATACATAATGACACATCTGGTTCTCTGTAGCAAGTAAAAGGTAAACAGGGAAGCTTTGGAATCTGAAGAGGTTTTTTTTTTCATTAACTCCATGGATATGCAAAAAAGAATTCGCTCATGTATGGTAAGCAACCAGTGTTCTGAGGGCTAGTACAAGTTCCAAAATGCTTGGAAACATTTTGATTTCAGACTTTTTCAGATTT